TAATTGTTTATTCATTTGCTTATTTATTTAAATATTTAATTTTGTACGTTTTTATATTAATGATGTATTATCATTTACAATTATCATTATTATTTTCCTTCGTATCTCATTCAGGCCTAATTGTAGTATACTAATTTAGTACTGTCTGCAACGTCGCATACATTCTTGTTTCCTTGCGGTTACAGACACGTCTCGTAGCTGATTTTCAGGTTGAGAACAGAAAAACGGCCGATGCCATAACCAAAGCCGGTGGCAGGGCGTATGCACAGGAATGCGACGTTGCGAACCCGGAAGTGATGAAGAAGGTAGCCCAGTCGCTGTTGCATCACCCTGAGATCGGCATCCCGGATATCTTGATTTGCAACGCCGGGGTGTTGATCCCAAACTTATTCTGTGAACAGTCAGACGTCGACATTAAGAAAACGATGGACATTAATTTGTTGGGATTCTTTTGGGTAAGGGCTAGTCGATTCTTCTTCCGGGAGGCTAATCCGCTAATACATGTTTTCTTCGTGTTTAGACTCTGCGTGCCTTTTTACCACACATGATCCGCAATGGCAGTGGCCATATCGTTGCAATGGCTTCTACTGCCTCCTTTTACGGCCTTCCCTCCTCTACAAGTTACACGTGAGTTACGCTTTCTGTTACGGTCATTTTTAAATCATCATTATCGTCCTCGTTTGCTGCACCTTTGCCTAACTGTTCATTTACAGAAATCTTGAGAGTACAAATGGTACAATAAATCAACTTCTTTATAACTGACCCACGAATTCGATTATTAAACGGCTCTCCTCATGTTCGCAAACCGATCAGACATGTTTTCTTCATAAACAACTTTCCTGTAAATTTGACCATATTGTGCCTATCATCGTCGTTTCCCCCAAACGATCCGGTCTTCGTGACCGCTCTACGTGACACAGTATCACTCTCTAGATTGGTTGTGGAACAGAGCCACCCGTGTGCTCTGTACACTCTCTACATAATGACCCAAACTTCTGAGTTAGATAAATGACTTGGACGATGTGGGAAGGAAAAAGGACAGTGTATACATCGCTGTTGTCCACTTCCCTTAAAATAAGGCCACCGGAAATGGTCCCATCATGAAGTGTTAGCAAGACCAATGTTTCAAGAAGTACAAACCTTCGTTTCCATACCATCTCAAAGTCGTATTTATCACTGACCTTTTAGGAGTAGGAAGTGTTGCAGCACGGCGACGGCTGAAGATCGAAAAAAGACGTCGACGATACCAGTTAGCAGTGGAGCCGCCAATGGTTGTGAACGTAGGAGGCAGACAGCGCGATGCCATAGCACGTCAGATAAAGTTCGACGGGAACGATACCGACAGTGGGAGCTCACAGTCTTAAAGCCAAACGCCTAATGTTTTCGCGTTCTTCTGGCCGATGCGCTCTGCAGATAAAGCGAGAAGCAGGGGAACAGTTGGAGAAATTGACTTACCGCAAGCTCTTGTTCAGTAGTTATGGGAAATGGGATTAATAGATCTACCGATGAATAGAAATGGCCAGCGGGTTGCGCATGAACAAGCCCGAACCCTGTGACTAAAGCTGAGCTAAGTCTGAGAACTAAGCTATCTTGTGTTCAGGTCAGTGTTTATTCTGATGCTCACGTATGGTCATGAGTCGTGGGCGATGATTAAAAAAATTCGATGCCGGGCACAAGCGGCTGAAATAGAAATTCTGAGACGAATCGCTAGGCTCGTATATCTCGACATGGTCCAGCGCACAGATATCCGTAAGAGCCGTGATGTACATCCACTGCCTCTCCATCCTGAGAAGTCGCAGCTGCAATTGTTCGACACCTCCTTCAAATGTTTTCCTAAAGGAAGGTGAATCAATCATTACTTTCTCAAAGACAGCCAAAAATGGCCTGAGGCAAGTGTATTGAAGGACTGTGCTCCAAACTGGGGCTATCTTCTGCTGAAACACAATCGCCGGCACAGGATCAAAAACGTTGGACGTACTGTCAGACGTGTCTGCCTCCTCGAACCGAAGTGAAAATTGGTAATCGAAACTCACTGACTGAACAGTGTCTCTAAATCAGGATACTGTATTAGTGTTACAGTTTTTGGGATTAAATTTTTTCTACATACTTTGATGGCTGGTTTAATCATTTCGTGCAAAACTTCCTGAAATGCTGCTGCGGTTTGCCTGTAAAACTCAGATGTTTGTCTCACGAAATTGGCCTTAAAACGGGAATTTTTTCATACTGCTCTTCAGCAAAGCCACATCATCTTCGTGTTATGGCCGGCCGGGGGGGGAGTAGTTATGACGCTACGTGAAGTTTATGGTGCGGTGCTGATCTCTGTTTCACTGTCATCAGCCATGGCTACCTTATTTTAAAGGGAGTTTACAGCGTAACGTTTAGACTCTTGTTTTCTTCTCACGGAGCGATATTAGTTTATCAGTCTTGGAAGACAGATTTCCGAGTAATGAGACCGGGGCTCGAGCCTAGAAACTCTCAGTTATGTTTGACGCTCTATTGATTAAAACCGCAGTTTTACTGTCAGATCGATCCTCATCCGTGATAAGAATGCTGAAACCGCTAACCGTATAATTTCGTTTTCCTTATACCTTGAAACCTAGGCAGCTTTGTCTAATAAGCGAGAATTTAACTATGGACCTTGAGAGTTTGAAATTATTGCATATTTGCATCTAATTAGATCTAAATTGTTATCACAACCTTTCTAGCAGGCATAGGTGTTAAACCCGAATCGTTCGCGACCTCATTATATCATGCATTCTTATTCTTCATCTCGATGATTCACCATACTTTCTTGTCTGACAGGATCGCGGCCCTCTGATCTGTAAATGAAGTTTTTTTCTCAGAACGACGGTTCTGCGAACGCGAAGCTCTCCGTTAACTTAATGTACCACTGCTAGCGGACTGTTTCAGAGTTCGTAGCAAACCCGTTACAGTTTTTATAGCTGTTCAAGGCACATTCATACACACACACACA